ATTATGACTCTATCTTCTCTTTTATAATGATTATATAGATTTCCAACATCTTCAACTTGTTGCACTAAATACTTTACCATTGCAGTTTTACTAAATTTTGCAATCCTAAACAGTGGCGTTTCACCTAAATTATTTTGATCACCTAAATAGTTGATGCAATGCTACATAATGGGGGATTCACAATTCCTTATACATGGGATGTTATTCTCCAATTTATATGGTGACAAAAACAACAAATAAACTACATCCTTATATTTTTTTAGTATGGACATTATTTTCCTTTTACAATTTTCCCAACCTCATGTATATTTATAACCCTCATTCAAAACTGTGTTGACTTGAGAATTTACATAGCTGCGTTAATTCAATTCTAAATTGAAGGCTAATTATAGTGATCAGTTCAAGTTATAGTGTGTTTTTATCAAAATGTTTTACTTACTCATTTTTCTTCTTCCATTTTGACCTTGATGAAAAAGTACATTGCTACTCCAGCAATTGCTATGGCTGTTTCTATGCCGGTCTGTGTTGAAATCTTATTTCATGTAAGAAGTAAATTGTTAGATATTAGCTCAAAAAATTTAAGTCCAAACATAAAAAAGCAAAACAATTCTTTAAAGGAGCATAAATGTGTAAGATATAAACCTATCAAAGACTAGGATTGAGAAGCCAATGACAAACAAATGTTTCAGCACATTGCCAACTACATGGGTAAGTGGTGCCACTTGTTTCAAAGTGTTGGTAGCCAATTGAAAAGCCAAAAAAAAAAAACTTTATCTATTTAGTATAATAATGTTAAGATGCATTATGTCAAATAGGTTTGCATAAGGCAACAATAGGAATGGAGTTACTTGAAAACAATAAAACTTGTAAAAAAAATGTAAAAACAATGGTACTTGATTATAGAGATGGTAAATCATTCTCACCCAAAAGAGATTAGAGATGAATTTAATCATACCCACTTGTGTAATAGTATCATTGAACACATGCTTCATCAATTAAGGACCTTTAAATTGTAACAAGCAGTTGGGAAAACATGGAATGCTTTAAAAGACTAATGCTTAATGTTTTAATTTTTTTAAAATCTCTAGTTGCCCTAAGAATAATTTTTACTTACAATGATGGCTGGTGGATTATAGACCAAGAGAGCAATGATGAAAATATAAGCATAGTCAATTGTATTATCCATATCGGTCTGCATATGAAAAAACAACAATTACTATAAAAAGTTTATTAGTTAAAATAAAAATTTTAAGTCATGCACAATTGAGAAAATAAAAAGGATGTATATAAGAGAAGGAAATGAAGAACTCTGTTTGATTCTTTTGAAAAAAAAAGGTAAGAGTTTTAAAGAAAGTCACAATGTTTTTCTTGGAATAAATACCCTTGTAAGTGAATGAGATGTTGGAAATCATTGCACTAATGAAACCTGTCTAGTTGAATAACAACTCAATCATTGATGCCATTAGGGGTATAAATAATATATTAGTACTAGCAAGCTGTTCAGGTTCGATTCAAATAAAACTTGAATTTAGTTTGGTTATTATCGAATCGAGCTCAAGCTCAAGTAGTTTGAATTTTCGATCAAACCTAGTTTGAACATTCTTATACCAAGCTCGAATTGCTATCGAGCCTATTTGAGCTTTTATATTTTAATATATTTTAATTATTTTAATTGATAAAATATTTTTAATTTGAGTTCGAGCTCAAGCATATATAATTGAGTTTTTGTCGAATATAAGAATCAAACTTATTTTTACATGTTAATCAAGCCTAATCGAGCTAGCTTGAGTAACTCGATTTTTATCTTGAGTCGAGCTCGAGCTAAAAAAATAAAATTTGATCAAGTTCAAACTGAGTTTCGAGCCTTAAATTTGAAGTTGAGCTTGAACTCGAGCTTAATACTGTATAACTCGAACTTGATCGATTACACCCTTAGATGCCATAGATACACCTACATTCATTTTGTAATTAATTGACACCCAAACATGGTGACACATTAACAATTCAAGTGCAATATGCTACTATAGTAACAGAGTATATAGTTTGTTTATCTACACAATTAGAAGGAGAGCCCATTAAGAGAACATATTTTACACTTAAACTGATTTGTATAATTAGGTGATCAAAACAACAAACAGAGAAAAAAGTTAGCAAATAAAGTGATGTTCTATTTACTCTTTTTTTTTCCATACTAAACATCATCATCTTGATCCTAAGCTATGCTTTACATATTGGTTTAGCAATCTTGTTGCCAGGCATAACATTTTGCTAACTCTTGCCTTGTGTAAAATCTTTTTTACTCTTCTTTTTCTGTCAGTATCTATTTAATCCCATGCAACTTGTTCATACAACATGCTGAATAATTTGGCATATGATGTTATCTAAAATGTGAATAAAATGCCAACTAAAATCGATCAAAACATTTATGTTCCTAGCAAAAGCAATTTACAAAGAATGGATAGAAGTGCTCATAAACATATTTTCTAGCTTTTCTCAATATTGCAAATTTGCATTCATCCTTTCGTATCAATTCAAATTTAGATAAATTCATGATAAGGTGTGTAAAATTATAAATAATCAAAAGTTCATACTTGCAATGTAGGTAAATTTAGATCTTTGGAGTTATCAAGGTCATAAATAACAACAATTTTGTACTTTACCTCTTCTTTGGGAACTTCAGCTTCCCTGTAAGCCAAATGATTCCCATCATTAATCTTAACTCTAGGAGAAGTTACAGAAGACCCATTTGGTAAGTCACATATATTTGGAAGGGGTGGCTTTGTAGCCTAATAAGCTCATCTTAGGAGACCTACTATCAAAGCTACCATTATAGGTACAATCATTGCTGTAAAAGGAGAAAATACTATAAAATCCATCAAATCAGAAAGAATTTAAAAAGAAAAAAAGATGGAATACCACTGTTAGAGCCAAAGTTTTTATCTTTTTTCTTGTGAAAAATAAAAAGAAAATGAAAGTAAACACAATTCAAAGAGCCAAAGAATCACTTTTGTACCCAAAACATGGATTGATTTCCATTTCAATATGATATCTTCACCAAAATCCAACCCACCCATCTTTTCAAGCACTTTAATTCTCCAAATACAAAATCTTTATCATCCAAAAATGAATCTTGAGATTTGTATATTATTGAACTAGGTAAAAACATTGGAAAAAATACCACAAAGAACAAAAAACAAAAGCTATGCAAATCCGTTGAAAAAAAAACCAATCAATTAAACCTCCAAATTTTTTTTTTTAAAAAGACTTATAGTGCTTCTCATAAAATCATTAGCTTTTTGGCAATTACTTCTTTGCAAACAAAATAGACAAAGAGAAAAAGGAATTACTACGTTTTAATTTGAAAATTAAAAAAAAAAGGAAAAAAAGAAAGGAATAAAAAAAAATTATCACTCCTAAGTGAAGATTGAAGAGATCAATAATGACAGATCAAGGAAGGTAGAACTGATAAGTTTCAAAATTTGCAATTGCTGTCAATGATCCGTTAAAAAGAAGAGATACCATTGCTTTGTATGCTTCAATAGAAACTTTTGGAGAAGCTTTGGTTCAAGCTTTTGGAGAAGCTTCTAGAAAAGATTTTCCAAAATTAACCCTTAATTTCATAAATTTTTTCCAAAATTTAACCTTCAATTGAATTAAATGACATTATTTAGCTGTCCCCATCTCATCTTAAAGTGACAGCTTTAATATATAGCTATAGTTTAGTCTAATGAGTAACTAGTTTTGGAAGCCATGAGAGCAACCCTAGACCTAGTAACATGATTCCGTTTCCTACCTTATATTTTTTTATTTCACTAGTATTCTGTCATACGTTTCTAAAAAATTTTGGAGCCAAAAGTTTTCTATGATGAAATATCGGTAATAGAATTAGAGATTTCTTTATCGGAGGGAGACGATCATGGAGGTAATGAGGAGTGATGAATAGGCTCCGACAAATTAGATAAACACGCCATTGCTTTTATTGAGTTTTATGTATATTAGACGTATAAATACATAGTGTATATACGGTAGTCGACAAAAATTTTGTAACCGTCCATCATTTCTTCATGAATAACAGACACATTTTGCACCTTTCAACCTATTACTATTCACCGGTTTCATCGGTGGATACCTTCCCAATTTCAAGCCTTATGTTTATGTGAGTGAGACCCACACATACTTAATCTTTGTTTTTAAAATTTGTACTTAACCTATTTTTCTAAAATTCGTAAATATATATTTCTAAATTAATAAAAAGTATTGATATTTGCTTTTTAAAAATGCATATAAATATAATGATAACATGAATAAAAATTGTAAACTTATTTTCATTAATTTTAACTATATTTTAAATTTATTTCTATAAAAAATTATTTTAATTAATTATTTTAATTTTATTTTAAATAATATTTTTTTTATAGAATTTAGAGTATTGAGCTACACAATAAATTGCTCTCTCCTATTTTATAATTTCATTAAATTATCTCAAAATTTAAACTCGACATGTTTAAATTAAAGTTTTTAAATATAATAAAATTTTATTTTAATAATTTTAGATATATTTGAAAGAAAATTAAATAAAAATATATTTATTTATTAATAAAATAATTTAATTGAGCTAATTGAGATGGATTTAGACTTCAAAACTTATGCCTAAACTCTAGTAATTATGTTACAATCCAATATGGAGTTCCAAATATCACATTCTAAAGTTTGCATTTTAATAAATTTAAATACTTCAGCAATCAATAAAATTTAAAATGCAATACTAAATTCAATGAAATTAAAGTTCAATGGCAAAATCGATACTAACATAGTGATAAATGTATAGAATGGCACATTTAAGACTATCGTGAAGCTCGAGAATTTGAATCTTGAAATAAAAATAAAATATATGAGATGAAAGAAGACTACTTCTCATTATGAATGTAGACTAGTGTCTCTCGAGTAGTGATTTGTGGAATTGAGGCAGTGGCCCGGCGGGGGCGTGTGGCTCTCAGCATGTAACTGCCTCCTACTGCCGCTGAAAGGTTATCTGGTCATTCACTCCTATCCACACATCTTTTTCACAGCACCAAAGCAGCCACGCCACTTCACTCAACTCTACCTCTTTCCTTAATTTCCTTTTATTTCATTTCCAATTTCCAACCGCTCTCTTCCCCTGCCACTTGTTCTGATATAAAGTTCAAACCATGTCATCAGCTGTGGTTGCAGGTGCCTCTTCTTCTTGTTCTGCCGCCTTCACCAGCAGGAACCACTCCTTCAAAGCTACCCCGACCCCATCTCCCAAGGCATTCGCGCCTTTTACTTCCCAGGTATGAATGAAATGCGTGGGTCATCAGATCCTTTCAACATGCTTTTACTTCCGTATCCCATTGACAGAAACCTCTCTTTTTGTCCATGCATGTATAGAAAACCACACTCCTAGGCCTGACTCTTCAAGAGGCCAAAAGCGGTGTCTCAGATTTCTTCCTAGCTGAGAGAAAGGGCAGCTTCAGTTCCAGTCATGCAAGAAGAGGGATTGAGATCACTGCAAAAGCTGCTGGTGCTTCAAAAACTGTAGAGGTTGAGGTTGACAAGCCCTTAGGCTTGACATTAGGTCAGAAGCAAGGAGGTGGTGTAGTTATTACTGTAAGTTTCAGATTCGGTTCTCCTTCCGACATTGATACCAGTCATGAGAGTGTTTTGGATTTTTTCTTTTGTCAATTCGGGTTGCAGATGGATATTTACTCACTGTGGTTTTTGAATTGGATATAGGCTGTTGACGGGGGTGGGAATGCAGCAAAAGCAGGGCTTAAGGCAGGGGATCAGGTACTTTACACTAGCAGTTTCTTTGGGGATGAGCTTTGGCCTGCGGATAAGCTTGGATTTACTAAAACTGCCATACAGGCAAAGCCAGATTCTGTCTATTTTGTAGTTAGCAGGTTTGACTTCTTATCTAAATTTAACTTCTTTGCTTTATTTGAATAATTTTGATGAACGTATAAAGGAAAAAAAGTTGTTGATAATTTGATATCAATCCATGGTACATTAAACAATTGTAGATAATTTGTAGTGATTATCTACAACTCTACCATGACCATCTACCGTCAATTGTAAATACATTTTATAAATAGCTTGTATATCCTAAACAGACGTGGAACATTAAAAGAAAAAATTGAAGTTCACAGTTAAACATAACAAGTTTAGGAAGTGAACATGATGTTCTGCTTTTCTCTAAAAAATAATAAAAAAAAATATTTTTGAATGATTTGAGACTCATTGACCTGTAATGGAATGCAATGCTTATTCATTCTATATGATGCTTCTGAAGCATGGGTTAAGAATTAGCATCAAGCATGTATGATAAAGGAGATGAAAATGTTGCTAACCAATGAAAAATAATGTGATATTGAAGGAGTGAAGTTCCTTAGATTATCTATTAGAGATGTATGCCTATCAAAAAAATTAAACTAAACTTTAATTTGTTGGTAAGAAAACTTTTCATGCTTTATGGTTTATATTGCACGGTAATTCTAAGATATTATGTCTTTAAATTTTGGGTTTATGTAAAAAATTGATTTGCTACGAACAGTTAAAGCTTAGCAAAGAAAGAATATCACAAATGCCTGTGTTAGCATCTTGCAGATTCAGTGACTGGTGTCTGTAATGATAGATGCTCTACACACGTGACAAGAGGACCAATCACTCATAAATTAATGTGATAAATTTGGTAGATTGAGGGTAAGAATTATGTGAATTGGACAATGGGAATTTACATTCTTAGGATACAGCAGAAGTGCCAAACTGCATGCCTTGCTGCTCTGAATGAGGTTTTAGTGTTGCCAAATTGACTTGCAAGTCTGCGACTTCTTCTGTTTGCTGATTGATCATTGTTGCTTCTGCTAGGTTTTTAGGACGCAAATACTATCTCATTTCATAGATATAATATAAAACAAATAAATAAAACTAAATATTTTAGCTGATATGATGCAGAAAAAGACGTTCTTTTTTCTTTTTAGGCCAGTAAAAAGTAATGTTGGTATTTTTTAGCACCTTCACATTTTTTTGTTTTCAAGTTTATGTCATCTTCTGATAAAGCTCCAGTGTGCTGCCCTGGTCCTTTCTGCTTAAAAATCTTATAAAATAACTCTACAATGAGAAAAGATCAAGAGGGAGTGTATTTCAAACGAAAAAAAAAAAATCATGCATCAATTAATTTTGAGTTAATACAGTTGCAATTTAGTTAAAGGTCCCTTTTTCCCATTAATTTACTAATAATCACTACCCTTTGCCTAATATGTTTACTGTATTTCTGTACTAGTATTAAAATAATGAAAAGGAAAAATTCAGCGAATTCTCTTCCTTCTTATCTTTATCTGATAGTTCTCCTATTTATGTGATGCAGAGGTGCAGAAGTAGATGTTAAACGACTAACAAAGCGACCAGCACCTCCTCGGTTTGGGAGGAAATTGACTGAAGCTCAAAAGGCAAATATATATAGCTTTGGCCAACTAATATTCTACTTTACTTTTAAAGAATACAGATATACATACTCAGATACATTTATGTGTATATTTAATGAGATTACATTGCACATGCGGGAACTAATGGTATGCAGAATTTTGCAGGCAAGAGCTACTCATATTTGCCTTGATTGTGGATACATATACACTGCACAGAAACCTTTTGATGAGCAGGCAAGTTTCTATCCAGTTTCTGAGCAAAAATTAAACTTCATATCCAATTAAACCAAAGGCTTGTGGATGCTTTTCACCTAATAGTATCGCCCACATATATTTATGTTCAAAGTATTGGCTAATGTGTGTTCCATGTAAAACTGTTCTAGGAGATTACTGATCCTCGCACGATCATTTTTGTGAAAAAGAGATTTTCAAATTTTATCATGTTTAATTTTCTGCAGCCTGATACGTATGCATGCCCTCAATGTCGAGCACCAAAGAAGAGATTCGCACCATATGATGTTAATACTGGCAAAGCTATTGGCGGAGGGTTACCTCCAATTGGGGTCGTTATTGGTCTTGTGGCTGGTGTTGGAGCTGTTGGAGCTTTACTTGTTTATGGCCTTCAATGAAAACTTCATTTATTACCTTAAAACTCTGTTTATTCTATATTCTCTTATAGAAATGGCGGTACAAGTATGATTTTCTAACTCATATCTGGTTTCACTATCCAACACAAGGATTAATGAGTTGATAAGTGAATTTTTTAGTGTATTTTCCTATTGCAGCCTACATATTTTAAGTTAGGTTTATATTTGATACTAAATCAATAAATTAAATGATGTTAGCATCTCTAATTTCTTTTCTATCTTAAAGCTACGGATTTGGTTAGCTAAACAAGTTCTTTAGTTCTCCGATTTACCTCATTGTATGATTAAAGATGATTCAAGAAAAAGAAGAAAAATCTTTAGAAAGCAAAATAAACGAGATGGTAGGAGATAGACCTGTCTTAATTTTTTAATCCATGATTGGGAGGGGATTACCCAAAGGCAAAGGAAACACAAGAATCAACCAAAAAAAAAAAAAAGACAAATACATAGAACACTTCTAGCGTTTGGCCTTGTCAATTTCTGAGTTAAACCTTTTTTATTCATTAATTACAATAAGAATTCCGAAGCACTAATTCCTTTTGTAGTCTAATTTTCCTGAACAATTGTTTGAGGCCCTCTTGGTCCTTCATACACTTCTTCCCATTTGTTTTGGCTCCACAAGTTATTTGTCCCTTTATAGCTTTCTAAAAATATAAACAAATGTGAGACTAACATGGGGAATTAATTCCATTGATTGATTCTTATTAGAACATGCACATATATAAAATATCATAAAGCTAAACTCGAGTTGATCAATCGGTTAATGCAATTATAGATGTAATATTCAAGTTTAAAATTTAAAATTTGACACTTACAATCTAATTTTTTTATTTGTTGGTGGTCTCTTTTATAAAAAAAAAAAATTAAAAATCTTTGTTCTTTCTGTTGCAAAAGAATCCAACGGAGTAAATTGATATTGTTGTTCTTCATCTCCATCAATTTTGGCTTTGCTTTAGAAGTCAACTCTATCAACCTAATCATCATAATTAAGAAAAACTTGTTTACAAATGTTGTTGAACGTTTCATAAAAAATGAGAAAATGCCGTTTGCAAATGTTGTTCAACGTTTGTCCTTTTCTTTCACATGATCGAAACAGTTTATCAAATTTAGGGTTGATCTTGCTGAACTGTATACAGTTGCATCTGTATATGTTGATTATCTTCTATGTATTGACATACAAACTAATTTATTGTTTCAGCTTGAGATTGAAACATGCTAAGACCTGAGTATTTTCTTACAAGAATATTGTATGATTATTCCCTTTGGCTTTAGATGATCTTGTCAATCATGGTAATTTTTTAATATTAAAATATGAGAAATTATTTTTATTTAGTGAAATTTTTAGATTTAAATTAGTAGGAAGTGAGATATTTATAATTTTTTAATCATACTTACAAAATTTATATTTGATACATTGTCAGTGTATAAAATTTATATACTATCAGTGAATCAGATGATGACATTTTATTAATGAGTAAATATCAACTTTTAAAATAAATGTACACAAATTAATATTTTTTTAAAAATTTACTCATTAATGAGATATTATTATTTGATTTATATCATTAATTAAGTGTCATCATCTGATTCATTAACAGTGTATCAAATATAATCTAAAAAAAATATATTGATATTGTATAAAAATAAATTCTTAAAATAATCTAGATATATAAACAATTATGCAAGTTAATTAATTAATTAATTTAGATACACAGCAATGCACACTCTTATCAGAATTACCACCTTCTAATCAATTCATTCATAAATTTGTCTAATGTTATCATGTTTCAAAACTAACAAAAATCTAAAAAATAATACATATTTTTTATATCAAATTAATATAATCCATGTTTGATACTAGCAAACTAGAATATTAGAGAGTTGTTTATTTTGCCTCTTGCTTCTTTTATTCCTTATTAATTCTGGGCAATTTCATTCCTACATGTATACAAATTTCCCCATCACCTTGACTGAAACATGAGCAACAGTTGTTGATGCAAGCAAGAAGCCTTGAGACTTAATGGTGCAAAAAATTGGCATAGGTTGATTACAACGGTTTAAGTTTTTTATTTTATTTTACTATAGATATATGTTTATAATAACCATACATATATAATAGGGTCTTAAGTTTTTTAATTGGTTTCTTAGCGACACTGTCAGCACATGCCAGATTGGTAGCCGGTTGGTCTAACCATACAAACCTATACTTATTGTTGCAAATAAAATGAGAAGTTGGGTACTCAATTTTGCTTTATTAATTAAATGCCATACTTTAAAATAATAATCATCTACTTAAAGCATATATACTCCAACTTTTTGTATTTGTAATTTCTTTTTTTATTGTTTTATTTTTTTTCTTATTTTTGCAACTTTGTTTTAATATTGGAATTTGGCATACCTTTGCAAAATTGCTTTTGTATGGTTATGCTCTGCCAAATAATTCATTACTAATATCTCTTATGCACCTGAGGAAGGCATGGGTTTGAATCTCTTTTCCTTCAAAATAATAATAAAAAAAAAATTACCAAGGAAGCTAAATAGAATGAAAGAAATTGAGAGTACTGCGATTTAAATTTCAAATATACTGAATATTATTTATTAAATATGATTATATGAAAAAAAATATTTATTATATAGAAATAATAATTCTTTTATTTTTAAGTTCTAAGCCTCTAGTATGCCTGATTACATTATTTATGAACATTGTCATTATTTCTATTTCATTTTTTAACTTGAATTCAAGATCATTTAGGATCCATTTGAATATCATTGCACACCATATGCGATGGTAGTCAGGTTACTTTCTGGTCTCAATTGTATTGTGTGAATAGCACATCGCGATATAGTTGAAGCCATTGTCCCTCTGGTTGGAGATTGGAGACTCTAATGGTTCATTAATCCCTAAGGCAGTCGACTTTTCTATCTAAAACATTCAATTGGTTTTGAATAAAATTTAAAAGATATTTTTTTATGGGTAATCGTTTGTTTTTTATTGGATATTCAGCTATCTCATTTTTTGATGTGATAGTCGATTATCTTTGGTTGATACTTAATTTTTTTGTGATTGTCATGTTTGATTTATATACATATCTCCATCATCAATTTTAATTTTATAATTACAATATCAAATTTCATCATTATTGTTGTTTTTTATTTATTCGAAACAAATCTCATTATCAATCCAAATAATTCCTTAATACAACTCTTAATAAAAATAGCAAGCTGGAAGAAATTAATTTATTTATGATATATATCAGAGATGTGAAAGTGAGAATGAAATGTTTTCAAACTATTCGAAACAAATCTCATTATCAATCCAAATATACCCTTAATACAACTATTATAAAAATAGCAAGCTGGTAGAAATTAATTTATTTGTGATATAAATCGGAGATGTGAAAGTGAGAATGAAATTTTCAAAGAGAAAAATATAATTTTTCTAATCAAACTACAAAAAATAATTAAAAAAAAAAGAGAAATTAACGTGTTTTACCCATGGGCAATTGTCATATTAATAAATATTAAACCATATTCTGAAATTAATTTTAAAAAAAGAGTTAAATATAAAAATAGTCCAAATATTATACACTTATTGTTTGTTTGATACTTAAAGAAATAAAATTATCTATTTAATTAGTATTTGAACTTTTATTCCATCATCACTTTAGTATTTCGGATTAACGTTATTTGTCCATTTGTTAACATGATATGAACATTTAATAAGATGATGACTAGCTCGTGGTAAAAAGTTTAGTTAGTACCATGTCATCAATTGTTACATCAACATTAAATAAAAATATTTCATATTTTTAAAATTTTTAAAATATTTTAGAATTTTTTTAAAAAAATTTAAAAATTTTTTGAGATTATATTTTCATTTAAAATATTTTCATTTTAAAAAATAGTGAATATTGAAATTATGTTTTCAAAATTTTAGAATTTTAATAAAAATCACATTTTTAAGATAAAAAAATAGTGAATGTGAAAATTTTATTTTCGAAATTCTAAAATTTTAACAAAAATTTTGTTTTAAAGATAAAAAACGTAATTGATGTTGACACTTTTATTTTTGAAATTCTAGAATTTTAATAGAAACCATGTTTTTAAGATAAAAAAAAAATAGTAGATATTAAAATTATATTTTGAAATTTTGGAATTTTAACAAAGATTGTGTTTTTAAGATAAAAACATAGTAATGTTGAAACTATATTTTTAAAATTATGAAATTTTAACAAAAACCATATTTTTAAGATAAAAAAACATTATAGATATTGAAACTTCATTTTTGAAATTTGAAATTTTAACAAAAAAAATATTTTTAAGATAAAATGTAGTAATTTTTACTACTCATAACAAAATAAAAATAAAAATATAAAATATCTTTATTTAATATTATTACATATAAAATCTAAAATACATTTACTTACTATTATTACATAGGGACATTCTTTGTTAATAATGTGTGGAAGGTCGATCCGCATATTTTATTTTTATAAGGATAATTAATATTAGAATAGTAGTTAGGATGATTAGATTATCTTGTTGAAAATATAAAAAAAAATTAAAATTTTTCATTTTTCACAAAGATAATATATTATTCACGTATCACGAATTATTCATATGTCAATGTGATGAATGTCATGTGTTATTCACATTTCATCAAAAATAATATACTAAAAAACTTTATTAGATTATTTTACATTCTTCTAAATCAAACATAAAAAAATTTACATATCCTAAATCAACAAAACTTAAGAATCATAAATTTCCTTTTAATATCACTTTTACCAAAAATCACTTTCCATCATGAAATCTAAAAATCAACGAACCAAAAGTTTCAAAAAAAATTTTCTCTATTTAATTATTAAATCAATATGTAATTTGTAAAAGTTTTATAATATATACAATAGGATGATCTTGATATTAAATAAAAAAAGTGATTATTTCATTTAGTTGCGTAGCTAAAAATTTATATAAGTGAGGTTAATATTATAATATTATTTTTTTATTTATAATATTTTGTTATTTAATATAATATTGACAAAATTGAATATAAAAAATATCGGATAATATAATACAACTTTTAAATAAATATATTTTTTTACAACTTTTTATTTTGAAAATTTTATTTCAATGGTTTCATTATTGATGCTATATAAAACTTTTTTTTTCTCATTTTTCTATCGTGCCAAT